TGGTGCCTTCAACACCCTCAACCCTGAAATCGAAAAACTTATGAGGCATCCGAAGCCCTCTAAGCCCGACGAATGGGATTAGGGTTTGGGGTTTAGGGTTTGGGGTTTCGGGGCTGAAGCCCTAAACCCTAAACCCTAAACCCTAAACCCTAAACCCTAAACCCTAAACCCTAAACCCTCCGGGATTGAATGTTTAGGTCCACTACTGTTCGCGAACCTGGGCATGCCTACAGTAGCTACATCCGAAGTGTACTAAGGGAGCCCAAGCCCCAAAACCCAAAACCCAAAACCCTAAACCCTAAACCCTAAACCCTAAACCCTAAACCACAAGTGCAAAACCCTAATCCCTCAGCCCCGAACCATGCAACCCAAACCCCGAACCATAGAACCCCAAACCATAAAACCCCCAACCCTACACCCCAAACTTAAAACCGTATACCCTAGACCATGAGATCCGAAACCCTAAACCCTAAACTCCAATCCGTGAACCCTAAACCCTAAACCCTAAGCCCTAAACCCCAGACCGTGAAACCCCAATCTTCCCAGGGGTGCAGCCCTTGCAGGGGTGCTCGTTTGCTTGGCCGACCCTAAACCCTAAATCCTATACCCCAGACCCTAAACCCTGCACCCTCCCTAACCCCTAACCCCTAACCCCTAACCCCTAACCCCGAACCCCTAACCCCTAAACCCTAAACCCTAAACCCTAAACCCTAGCCCTAAGCCCTAAACCCTAAACCCGAATCAGGCGATGGGCTTGAAGGATGTCCGGAAAAGCCCGGGGTCCCGGCGATGTCCAGGGTTCCGGGTTGTGAACCGTACAACCCTAAACCCCAAACCCCAAACCCTAAACCTCAGGATCCCAAACCCTAAAACCACGCATTCTCTGCCAAGGGTTTAGAGTTAAGGTTCAGGGTTTAGGGTTTAGGGTTGAGGGTTGAGGGTTTAGGGTTTAGGGTTTAGGGTTTAGGGTTTAGGGTTTAGGGTAGATGAGATATTTTTTGGTTGTTAGTCTGTGTGCTCTCGCCTGTGAGTGTTAGTAGTTACTGCTTCTGAGTAGGTTGCGTGTAACCCCTTCTTGTGGCTAAAACCCTTCAGTTTAGCCTTCAACCACGGGGACCATAGGCAGACTGTTGGCATCTGGCATGGCAGGTCACGAAATAGGACGCAGAACTGACCTATCACCATATATGGTTGGAAGCACAGCTGAAAATTTCTTTCAGTTGAACAGTCTGGGCTCACACATGCTACTCATCAAGCAAAAGGGTTGAGGGTTTGGCCTAGAAGTAGAATGGAGTGAACCCAGAAATTTGGTTTTAGGCTTTAGTCGCCCCCTCTTCCCATCTACCCTGAATTCAGGGCTGCGGAGGGCCTGGACCTCATAGTGCAGCCATTCAGCGCCTTCTTGGGGGGCTCCAGGGATTTAGAGTTTCGGGTTTAGGGTTTAGGGTTTAGGGTCGAGGATCAAGACGCAAGGCATAGAAGACAACGGACCCGAACCCGACCATCTACCAAGGACTCACCCGACGACAGAAGACGATCGAGCTCAGCCGCGTAGTCAGCAGTTTAGAGAGTTTAGGGTTTCGGGCTAGGGTTTGGTGTTTAGGGTTTCGGGTTTGGGGTTTGGGGTTTGGGATTTGGGGTTTGGGGTTGGGGTTTAGGTTAGGGTTTAGGCTCATGGTTCTGGAGACGAGTTCGGCTTCGGGTTTGCCCAGAACCCTAAACCCCAAGCGCGAGACCCCAAATCCCAAATTTGTTAAAGCCTACGCCTTGGAATCAGTGGGTTAGGACGCGTACCCCTAAGGTTGTACCCTAAATGGTTCCCCTTAATATACGTACTCCACATCTGGCCCTTAGATTACCTTAAGGATCTTTAACCCGAGAACCCAAGGGCACAACCTTAAGCCCTAAACCCTAAACCCTAAACTGCCCTAAACGCTAAACCCTAAACCCTAAACCCAAGGTACACCCCCTAGAGGAAACCAAAGCACATGCTGCAACCAATGCTTGCGAAAGGCTTCTGCTGTTAAACGTAATGGCTCTTAGTAGCCCTAAACCCTAAACCCTAAACCCTAAACCCTAAACCCTAAACCCTAAACCCTAAACCCTAAACCCTAAAGAATTGAGGGACTTCGACTTAGCTCCCCTCTGGTCGCCTTTCAAGGGTATGTGGTATTTTTGCGGGCCTAATTCCCTCATTCCCTACACCCTGAACCCTAAACCCTAAACCCTAAACCCTAAACCCTAAACCCTAAACCCCCTAAACCTAAACCCTGCACCTTAAATGAAGCCCCGAAAAGCCCTGAAGACACCCTGAAATCCCAAAGCCAAGACCCTTATCTTCTCCTTCTCTAGGGGTTTAAGTGTTTGGGCTTAGGAACCCTGCAATCACACAGCCAATGCTCCTAAACCCTACAAACTCTCAGCCCTGTGCCCTAAACCTCCGACCCTGAGCCATCTCTATATTCGGGTCCATTTTGGAATAGGGGCGTTATTGTAATATTTAATATAAGAAAGGACCCCAAAAAGGGACCATCATGTGGAGAGGGGTTTAGGGTTTAGGGTTTAGGGTTTAGGGTTTGGCCACATGTTCTCCCACCATCGCCGAGGTGGCAACGACGAGCCTGCCGAAGCACCTCAGGCTCTGGAAGTAGGGAGTTAGGGTTTAGGGTTTAGTGTTTAGGGTCCCAAAACCCTAAGCCCACAAGCCCCCTTAGGCCCTAAACCCTGAGCTCTAAATCCTAACCCTAAACACTAAACCCTAAACCCTAAACCCTAAGTCAAGCAAAAAAGAGCCTTAAGAACCCAAAGAAGCAGGACCAGACGCAGCTGGCCGAGGTGATGTGAGCGCCGTCTTCTTGATAGTGTTTAGGGGTTTGGGTTGGGAGGTCGGGTGGTTTAGGGTTTAGGGTTTATAGGGTTTAGGGTTTAGGGTTTAGGGTTTAGGGTTTAGGGTTTAGGGTTTAGGGTTTAGGGTTTAGGGTTTAGGGTTCCTTAAACCCTATCAACCCTGACCCTAAACCCTCAACCCTAAACCCTAAACGCCAAAACCTCCCAATTGTCAGGGGCCTAAGACTTGCTATCCCAGTGGTACCCTTTGCCCTGTTTCTTTCCTAAGCCCTAAACCCGAAACCCGAAACCCGAAACCCTGATTGTGGTTGGGCTACCAAGGCTGCCAGAAAGACTTGAAGGGTTTTGGGCTTCGAGTTCAGAGCTGGAGGCTTGCATTCTGGAGCGTTTTAGGGTTTAGGGTTTAGGGTTTAGGGTTTAGGGTTTCGGGTTTAGGGTTTAGGGTTTCGGGTTTAGGGGAACCCTAAACCCTGAACCCTAAACCCCTAGAGATTTTAGCATTTTCGGGGCTTAATGGGGGGGTAGTCTCTAGGATGCACCACCGGGGCTTGAGCCGGCTCTTCGTGCAGTGCTTAGGGTTTAGGGTTTAGGGTTTAGGGTTTAGGGTTTAGGGTTTAGGGGTTTAGGGTTTAGGGTTTAGGGTTTAGGGTTTAGGGTTTAGGGTTTAGGGCTTAGGGTTTAGGGCTTAGGGCTTAGGGCTTAGGGTTTAGGGAGGGAACCCCTGTAAAGCCTAAAGCCTTAACCCTACATTACTCCCGATGTAGTCACAGATGTCCAAACCCTGATTCCTACTTTGTGGTGCTTTACTGTAACTTTACGTCTTTAGCCTTTTTGGGTTTCTTAATAAGGCAGCTAAAAGTTTAGTTTTTTTGCTACCCTCCTAAGTGCAGCCAAGCCTACAGACAAGAAGCGCCGGCTCAATCCTCATCTCCAGCAGCTTCGGCCGTCGAAGATGTCGAGGCTGCCGTGCACGTCTCACCCTAAGAAAGGTTGTTGGACCCTGAACGCCTAAAAAACCCTAAAACTCTTAAATTCCTGAAGCCCTAAACCCAAAAAACCCTGAATCCCTAAACCCTGCATCCCTAAACCCTAGCCCCAAACCCAAACCCCTAAACCCTAAACCCTAAACCCCAAACCCTAAACCCTAAACCCTAAACCCCAAACCCTAAACCCATAAACCCTGCATCCCTAAGCCCTAAACCCAAACCCCAGAGTGCGATGCCATAGCCTCGGTGCACGAAAATGTTGAGGCATGACGCCCGCGCTTCGGGGGCTTTCTCGGATTTGAGGTTTGAATTTGTTTAGGGTTTATAGGGTGTAGGGTTCAGGAATTGGGGTTTAAGGTTTAGGGTTTAGGGTTTAGTGTTTAGGGTTTAGGGTTTAGGGTTTTGGGAAGCCATGGTCTAAGTTTCAGGCCACTTCCCATCTACCTCTGACACCGTCATGTCTATTAAAACCCTTACAAGTACCCTCGCATGGGTACGACACGGCCCTGAAGGGAGGAGGGCCCCGCATACATCCCTAAACCCTAAAACCTAAACCCTAAACCCTAAACGCCCCTGATGCACCCTATAGTAACACCCCAAGGGCCCATACTTCAGAACCCTTTAAAGAAGGTAACGGGCCATATTCGTAAGGAAGGGACCATGTAGCTACCCGTAGATATGGGGTCGGGGCGTTCATGGGGGGGGGGGGGGGGGGGGGGGTAGGTATCTAGGGGGCACCTTCAGGAAGCTTAGGGAGCCTGAGGGAGTACTGGGGAGTACCCACAAGCCCCCTCCTAAACCCCAAACCCCTAAGTCCCCTTAACCCTAACACCCCTAAAATCTCCAAAACCCCGAAATCCCCTGATCCGCAAATCCTAAACCCCTGCACCCCTAAACCCGAAAACCCGAAGCCCTAAAGCCCTTAACCGTAAAACGCTTAAAGCCTAAACCCCTAAACCCCTAAACCCTAAACCCTAAACCCCTAAACCCTAAGCCCGTAAACCCCCACTTCGGGACTTCGTGGATCCGAGGGCCTGTTTCCAGGGCATCTAAGGGGTATATAAGGGGCCTAAACCTTAAACCCTAAACCCCAAACCCTAAACCCTAAACCCTGAACCCTAAGGGCCCACTCATATAAAGGAACAATGAAGCAACCATGAGACTGAGGCTCTCCACGCCGCCCCCTGGGGCCCAGCAGAGGTGGGTTTTAGGGTTTTGATTGTTTTTTTTTTTTTTTTTTTTTTTTTTTTTTTTTTTGGGGGGGGAGGTTTTTTTTTTTTTTTTTTTGTGTGTGTTTTTGTTTTCAGCTGTTTTTTTTTTTTTTTTGGGGGGGGGGGGGGGGGCGCGGGGTGTTTTTTTGGGGTGTGTTGGGGTTTTGTTTTTGGGGGTTGGGGGTTTTGAGGATTTGGGGGTTCTTTTTCGTTTTTTGTTTTTTGTTGGTTTTGTGGTTTTGTGGTTTTGGGGTTTTGGGGTTTAGGGTCTGGGATTCTGGGGTTTTGGGGGGTTTGGGGTTTCGGGGTTTTTGGGTTTTTGGGTTTTGGGATTTGGCGGGTTTGTGGTTTTGGGGGGTTTGAGGGTTTGGGAGTTTTAGGGTCCAGGGGTTTCAGGGTTTATGGTTTAGAATTTGGTTTAATTAGGGGGTTCAGGATTTTGGCCTGGGTTTGGGGGTTTTTGGGATTTGGGGTTCAAGGGGCCCTAACCCTAAACCCCCTAAACCCTAAACCCTAAATCCTAAATCCTAAACCCTAAACCCTAAACCCTAAACCCTAAACCCTAACCAGCTTTAGGGGTTTAGGAGTTTCGAGGAAGTGGCTGAGTAGTTTCGGTCAAGGTCTCGGGCCCACTTCAAGGCGGGCAGTTTGGGCCACGGACCCTAAACCCTGAACCCTAAACCCCAAACCCTAAACCCGAAAGATTAAGGCGGTGATAACGTCGCTCTAACTGCGAGGGTTTTAGCTTGAGAAGTGGGGGCTCAGGGTTGGCGTGACGGTAAACCCTAAGCCCCGAACCCTAAACCCTAAGCCCTAAACCTTATAAGTCCTAAACCCCAAACCTGAGGCCTAAGCCCTAAACCCTAAACCCTAGACCCTAAGCCCTAAGCCCCAAACCCTAAACCTTAATCCTCATCATTCTGTCGGGGCAAGCCGGGTTTGCTGTCAGATCAAATCTCACGGATGCGAGACGTGGAGGGCTGCCGTGAGGACACCTGCTGTTTTGCTGGAGATTTATATAGGGTTTTTTGGGTTTAGGGTTGAAGTCACGCAGCTTGGAGGGTTCTGCCATTTGACATGGCGGCGACAACTGCTTGATAGTCAATGCGAGCCAGAATCCATCGACTCGTGCAGAACCCAGCCGGTGTACAGTGCCGAATATCGCGCTACTGGTGCCCGCAGCAAGGATATGGGATCGCCTGGTTAAGGGTTCTTTGTCATGAGACACTCAGCTCTCCCTTCGGTTTAGGGTTTAGGGGTTAAGGGGCCCTAAACCCTAGACCCTAAACCCTAGACCCTAAACCCTCAACCTAAACCCTAAACTCTAAACCTGCACTTCCCGGATCTAAGGTACGGGATCTGTGGCTGCGTCTAAGGCTCTTGCGAGCCCGTGAACCACGAGCTCAAGGTTTTCGCACATGAGTGCCCTCAAACAGCGCGTTGACCTGATATGCCCTTGGAGCTTCATCCACAGTGCTCATGGGGCGAACGGGGGGATCCTAACAAGAGACCTTAGGGGTTGTTTGGGGGTTATTTCGGGGCTACTTCGGTATACAGGGGCTCTATAAGGTTTTTCAGGTATATATGCAGGGGTTATATAAGGGAGTCCCTTCTAACGGTCCCTCCTTGTACGCTTACTAGTACCCCCAAAGCCTAAACCCCAAACCCGAAACCCTAAACCCTACACCCTAAACCCTAAACCCTAAACCTTCTAGAAATAAACAGACGGCAGGCCGGACTACATACCGCGGCCTCCACCTGCAGCCGCCAAACCGAACCGATTCCGGCCTGGCGCCCGCAGGGTTCGGGGTATAGGGGTTTGGGTTTAGGGTTTAGGGCTTGGGGTTTAGGGTTTAGGGTTTTGGGTTTAGGGGTTAGGGCTTAGGGCTTAGGGTTCATGGTTCATGGTTTAGGGTTCATGGTTTAGGGTTTTGGGTTTAGGACCATTCTCAAGTTCATGGGTTTCGCGGCCATCTTGGTTTTTTCTCTTTGGCGGTCGAACATGCTCATTCTTCAACGCGTTGTCGTAGGAGTTCCCAAGGTAAAGTTGAAGGCTAATGGGCTTAGCTTCGTGCTTCAGAGTTTGACGCCACGAGGTCTTCGACCGCGATCCAGTTACGTCCTTGCGTCTGGTGCAGCGACTTGTTGAACAGGCAAGTAGTCATATTGTATTCTTTCTTTTGCTACAGCGCCCGCTCGCAAGGCTTCCACGGTGCGTTGGCATATATAAGCCCTAAACCCTAAACCCTACACCCTAAACCCTAAACCCCCTAGACAAGACATCCTATCAGACCCACCATCCTGGGACACAGGATCGCACGGGCGAGCTTCGAAAAGGGAAGGGTCTGCAGCTGACCACTGAGAGATTGAAGTCGCGTGGCGTGCAGCTCGAGCAGATTGCATTGGTCGACGACGGCTTGAGGGTAAGGTCTTTAGGGCATTTACCCCTAAACCCTAAACCCTAAAACCACACACTTCAGTCGGCTCCAAGGCAGGAAGGGAGGCAGATTCTCCACACCCTCAACCCTCAACCCTAGACCCTATAAACCCCAAGCACTATAGTGCTTGGGGTTTATAGGGTTTAGGGTTGAGGGTTATAAGCCCATCTAAACCCTAAACCCTAAACCCCAAACCCTAAACCGCCTGCTTGAACCCACCGAGCCCTAAGGGATTCAGGGCTAAACCCTGTCCCCAAAGATTTCGGTCCCCGAGTGGGGCCTTCTTCTCTTTTTGTTGGGGGGGGATAGGGCTACGGTTTAGGGTTTAGGGCTAGGGGGGGCTAGGGTTTAGGGTGGTTTCGGGTGTAGGTCTCCTTCTTAGCGCCTGTGCCTTTTTTGCCCTGTTGGGGATGTGGGTTCCCTTGTGGAAGTCACACCAAAAAGCGTACCGTTATAACATATTTGGTGCAAAATCTGGTTGCCGGGCAGCTAAGTTTACAAGGCCCCTTCAGCTGAGCCCTAAGCCCTAAGCCCTAAGCCCTAAACCCTAAGCCCTAAACCCTAAACCCTAAGCCCTAAACCCTAAACCCTAAACCCTAAACCCTAAACCCTAAACCCTAAACCCTAAGCCCTAAACCCTAAACCCTAAACCCTAAACCCTAAACCCTAAACCCTAAACCCTAAACCCTAAACCCTAAACCCTAAACCCTGACCCTGAACCCTAAACCCTACACCCTGCGTATTCCCAGGTTACTTTGTGATCCAGAGATTCATTCCAAGAGCCTTAAATCCTGAAACCTCAATCAAACCCTTGCCCCCTGAGAAGCCCTATTCCCCTGGGGTTCCCCTAACCCTACACCCTAAACCCTGACCCTTAAAAGTGCGTTGATAGGAACTGTGTTCCTGGTTGCAATGCTATATAGTTCTTCTCGTGCAGGGAGAAGCACAACGCCGTGTACTAACAACCCTGGATCCCTTATCTTCAAGGGTACCATGAAGGGCGCCCACCCAAAACCCAAAACCCTCAACCCTATACCCTAAACCCAAACTAAACCCTATAGCCTAAACCCCCAGCCCTAAACCCTATACCGTAAACCTTATACCCTAGGCCCTAAACCCTCAACCCTCCAAATGCTCCCAAGCCCCAGGCGCACCAACGCGAGGTCGGAGGCAGCGAAAGGCAGCGGAGGCGGATTGCTGTTCGCAGGCCTGTGGTGGGGTTTTACGGTTTAGGGTGTGGGGGTTAGGGCTTAGCGGTTTAGGGTTTAGGGGTTTAGGTTCAGGGTTTAGGGTTTAGGAGTTTAGCTGTTTCGGGGGTTAATTAGGGGTTTTGGGTTTTAGGGGTTTAGGGGTTTTCGGTTGGTATACGCCCTCGTACTACCTCTATACATGTCTTCCAAGGCTTTCCTACAGGTGCCTGAAGCCTAAAGCCTATATCCTACACCCTAAATCCTAAACCTTGCAATGAGCGCCCCTGAAAAAGACAAGAACAAATAGTAACAATAAAAAATCGAAAAACAAACAGTAAGAGCAATAATCAGAATGTTAATGATAGTAGTAAGAATAGTAATAAACATGGCTAAGTTCTAGGCTCAAGTATAGGGGGTCGGGTTTAGGGTTTAAGGTTTAGGGTTTAGGGTTTAGGGTTTAGGGTTTAGGGATTAAGGTTTAGGGTTTAAAGGGCTTAGGGTCCACGATTTGGTTTTGGGTTTAGATGTTAGGGTTAGGGTTTGAAACTTTGGTTTTTAGTTTTTAGGGTTAGGATCTATGTTTCATCAAAACCCTCAACCCCTAAACCCCTAAGCCCTAACCCCCCCCCCCCTCCCCCGAAACCCTAAATCCTACCAGAGGGTCCACTTGTAGTACTATTTTGGAATTAGGTACCCAAAACCATACTTAGCAGGGTTTTGGGGGTACCCATATAATGCCATAATCGTACTACCAGTGGACCCTCTGGGCCATAAACATTATACCCTCAACCCTCAATCCTCGACCCTCAACCCTAAACCCTAAACCCTAAACCTAAACCCTAAACCCTTGGCCCAAGCAGCCCTGCACGCGCACACGCAGGAGATGCCCGGTGAGTGGTTGCGGAGGAGATTCGCAGCACTGCCTTCTGCTTCCGAAAGGGCCTGCGACGGGCCTGCGACGCACCAGGGGCTGGAAATGCCCCTTTAGTGTTTAGGGTTTAGGGTTTAGGGGTTAGGGTTAGGGGTTAGGGTTTAGGGGCTTTGGCTCAGGGTTCAGGGTTTAGGATTTAGGGTTTAGGCCTTAGGGTTTAAGGTTTTGCTGGAGGAAGTTTCTGTGGTAGCCCTGTATATGCTCACTACATGCAGGCACCTTCCGTTCAATGGTGCGTGTCTGTGTACGTACATGTTTCTGTTTATGTATTTTGGTCTTGGTAGGGTCTAAACCCCTAAGCCCTACAACCCCCAACCCCTGATTCCCACCTAATCCCAATTAACAAGAATCACGCTAAACCCTCGAACCTAAGCTCCTAAACTCTCAACCCTACAAACCGTAAACCCTAAACCCTATCGTGTGGCCCCATCTGGCAAGAAGCAGGACTGCACGAAATCTCTTTTCAAGCGCCCTGGAGCGCTCTTGGGACAGCAGTGGAGGCCCCGAAGCCTAGTTTCAGGGTTCAATCCTAAACCCTCAACCCTAAATACCCAAAACCCTAAACCCCTAAGGGTCAGGGTTTGAATAGGATTTGGTCATAGGGATTTCGGGTTCAAATGTTCAACTAGGGTCGATGGCTTTATGGTTCAATTTGGGTTCAGGGTTTATGAGGGTCCAGAATTTAGGGTTTAGGGTCTGAGGTAGAATTCGGGCTTCCAGGGTTGAGGTCTTGTTGTTCAGCATGGATTTAGCATATAGCTAGGGTCTACTCAGAGCTGAGAGTAAAACAGGGTTCGATTTAGGGTTTGGGTTTTCGCGTTAAGGGTTTGGGGTTACGCCAAACCCTTGCAAGGCTTTATACGCACTGTTCCCAGATCTACCCTAGACCTTAAACCCCAAACCCGAAATCCTAAACCCTAAACCCTATACCCCGAAACCCTAAACCCTAAGCCCCTATTGGGTTTCGGGTACCATTCCCAGACCCCTGCAGACAAGAGCGCCGGCCCAGCGACGAATCTACGGGTTGCGAATCAGCGCCCCGTCGCGGAACGGACAGCTCTCACTTCTTGGCTGCCGCGTAGAAGCACCAAGCCAAACCCCCAAGCCTAAACCCTGAACTCTGAACTCTGAACCCTAAACCCTAAACCCTAAACCCTAAACCCTAAACCCTAAACCCTAAACCCTAAACCCTAAACCCTAAACCCTAAACCCTAAACCCTAAACCCTAAACCCTAAACCCTAAACCCTAAACCCTTAAACCTAAACCCTAAACCCTAAACCCTAAACCCTAAACCCTAAACCCTAAACCCTAAACCCTAAACCCTAAACCCTAAACCCTAAACCCTAAACCCTACCAGCAGGATGTTAAGAACAAGCAAGGTCGGTCCTAAGAACCTCCGAGCGTCGAACCCCTTCAGGGTTTAGGGTTGGGGGTTTAGGGTTTTGGGGTTTCGGGTGTAGGGTTTACAGGGTTTAGGGTTTAGGGTTTAGGGTTTAGGGGTTCGGGGTCTGGGGTTTAGGGTTCAGGGTTTCGGGTTTAGGGGGAGACTCTTCTTGGCAGCCCAGTGGTACCCTTTTGTCCTGTTTGGGTGCTGGGTTCTTCCCCTGTAAGAGAAACCTAAACCCTCAGCCCTAAATCCTAAACCCTTGTTATACGATGGCTTTTTTGGCTACCAAGTCATTCTTGGTGGCCTGAAGAGGCGTAGGGTTTAGGGCTTGCGTAGACTACTAGGCTATGTGCAGGTAGAGTAACCCCAAACCCTAAACCTTAAACCTTAGACCTTATATAACCCTAAACCCTAAACTCTAAGCCCTAAACCCTAAGCCCTAAGCCCTAACCCCTACTAAACCCTAAACCCTTGCGCGTGGCAGCCGGATCAACAACATCATCGGGCTCGCGGGAGTTTCTCGTGCTGCGTGAAGGGCGGAAAGCCGGCTATAGGGTTTAGGGTTTAGGGGTTAGGGTTTAGGGTTTAGGGTTGAGGGTCCCTTGCGGACCCGATACGCGCACGTAAGCCCTAAACAGATGGAGCCCTAGACGCGACTCGAAACCCTAATCCCTAAACCCTAAACACCCCGGGAGCCCAGAGCCTAAACCCTCATTCGGAAAGTAGCTGGAGATGACATTAGGGTTTAGGGTTTAGGGTTCAGGGTTTTTGAGCCAGACTCGGTAGACTTCGGTTGCAGAAGGAAACTCAGGATGGTCTTTAGCCCTAAACCCTAAACCCTAAACCCTAAACCCTAAACCCTAAACCCTAAACCCTAAACCCTAAACCCTAAACCCTTCACACGCAGCGCCCGGCGCCTGGCGCCCGGCAGGAAACTCCCAAGTAGCCCCCGAAAATGGGAGCTTTTGGCCTGGAAACGCCCGGCAAAGAGCTCCTTCGTCAAAACCCGGCTGGGCCGGCCCTCCTTTCTTCTCCAGGACTCCAGGGTTTAGGGTTTAGGGTTTAGGGTTTAGGGTTTAGGGTTTAGGGTTTAGGGTTTAGGGTTTAGGGTTTAGGGTTTAAAGATGTTGCTTTCAGGTCCTGTAGTTTTGGAGTTTAGGGCTTTAGGCGGGTGTAGGAGCTGAGAGGCCACTTCTAGGGTTCAGGGTTTAGGGTTTAGCGTTTAGGGTGTAGGGTTTAGGGTTTAGGGTTTAGAGTTTAGGGTAGGGAACCCACCAGCCGAAACGCGAAACCACTTCAGCTACCTTCGGGAGCGTCAAGAAGGGCCGCCCAGCTGCATCGACCCGAAAGGGTGCGCGCGAACTTTCGGGGGGCCTCAACGGGCTTGGGGTTCAAGGCTTCCCTTAAAATTTGAGGGTTCAGGGTTTAGGGTTTAGGGTTTAGGGTTTAGGGTTTAGGGTTTAGGGTTTGGGGTTTAGGGTTTAGGGTTTGTGCTTAGGGCCTAAATCTTAGGGTAGCTACATCCCTTAACATGGGCGCTTAAAAAGGGAACCCTTCTTTTAAAAAGCCTATAAAAACCCAAGGGCTCCATATAAAGCCCAAGGGCCAATACTAAGGGCCCAGGAAACTCCGAAAACCTAAACCGTAAACCTTGGACATCCCTAAACCCAAGCCCGAAGGGTTTAGGGTTTAGGGTTTAGGGTTTAGGGTTTAGGGTTTAGGGTTTAGGGTTTAGGGTTTAGGGTTTAGGGTTTAGGGTGAAGCCCTACATACACATACTCCGAGATTTGGGGGGGGCGGGGGGGGGGGGGGGGGCGTTTGTAGGGTTATGGATTCAGGGGTTGATGGAGTGTAGGGTGTAGGGGCACACAGTTTAGGCTGTATGCGGCTTATGCGGTTTCGGTTAGTTGCGGCCTAAGCGATAGGGTTTCGGGTCAAGTCAATCCGAATGTCTACTGTTCGCCCCCGGCCCCCGAAAAATTCATTTTGTTTCACATTGCGCCAGGACAACCGGAGTTCTGACACAGGTTGGGTCCAGGAACTAGGGGCTGTAAACATATACGTACAGAAATCTGAATACATGTAAACAAATATGTAAACACGTATTCGAGCTAAACCCAAAATCCGAAACCTAAATCTTAAGCCCATAACCCGAAACCCAACTCCTAAACCCTAAATCCCTAACCCTAAACCCTAAACACCGCAGGGAACGGAGGTTTCTGCAGCTACCCAGATCTTGAGGGAGGGATCAGGTTCCCTCGTAAACCCTCAACTCTTGAACCTTAACCTCTGAGCCCTAGAGGGGTTTAGGGTTCAGGGTTTAGGGTTTAGGGTTTAGGGTTTGCTGATGTGACATGGCGCGCAGGCGTCGGGTTGCAGACTGTGCAGACTAGCTTCGAAAGCTTCGTGAAATGCAGAGAGCAGCCATGGCCCGATTGTGGAGGCATCTAACACTTTATCCCAGCCCACGGAACCACCCTAACCTATTCCTTTTAGATTTAGGCCTGAATTCAAGTCAGTTATGCTTCCTTCCGAAAAACTTCTGCGGCCTGGATCGGCTTGTGCATAGAAGTCGTCTTGGCTGCCCGCTGCCTTTTAAGGGACCTTGAGGGTAATGACTTCGGTATAGGGACTGCATAAGTATTTAGGGGTTATATAGGCAATACGATTAAGGGTCCTTTCCAGGGGGCCCCTACTTATGTCCCTGAATTGGGGGGTTTTGGTTCCTTTGTATCAAATCGTAGCCGGAGCAACGAAGGGTTTTTAACATAGGGCTTCATTAGGGTTTAAGTGTGTGCAAGGTTTTTCGGGGCTTCTTTAGGAAGAGGCCGTGAACCTCGCGAAGCCACCCTAAACCCTAAATCCTAAACCCTAAACGCTAAACCCTAAACCCTAAACCCTAAACCCTACTGTAAACCCTAAACCCTAAACCCTAAACTTAAACCCTCCTAAACCCTAAACCCTAAACCCCCCCCCCCCCCTCAAATAGATGTTGATTTCCGGACTTCGGTCTTATTCCTGGCCGTGGCGGAAGATTTCTCCAAGCTGGAGAGCTCTTCTGCCTTCACGCGAATTCTTTCTTCGGGCCTGGAGCTTTCAGTGCAGGTCGGTCTTAAAGATTTGTAGAAAGTTAGGGGTTTAGGGTTTAGGGTTTTTAGGGTTTAGGGTTTAGGGTTTAGGCCTAGAGGGTCTAGGGGACAGTGTAGGGCTTAGGGTGTATGGGGTGTTGGCAACGTATGCAAATGGACCTCCTGACTGGCAGAGAGAGAAAGGCAAAGGGGTTCAGGGTTTGGGGTTTACGGTTTAGGGTTTAGGGTTTGTTTAGGGTTTAGGGTTAGGGCTCTTAAATCCCTAAATCCCTAGCCATAAGCTCGACAACCCTGAACAGAGAATTCGAAAAGCTTAAACCCTGATCCTTACACCGAAAAGCAGGCCCTGAACCCTCAAATCCCCAAACCCCAAAAACAGTGTCTTCTTACGACACCGTGTTAGGTGCACACTGACAGGCTTTACAGGTTTAGGGTCAACCCTGCCAGTATGTGCTAGTATGTCTGGGACTGGGGGGCCCGCAGAAAATGCGGTTTGGTGTTTGGGGGGGGGGGGGTTGGGGCACACAGAAAATGCGGCCTGGGGGGGGGACAAGGGGGGGGGGCTGGGGCACACAGAAAATGTGGGGGGAATCTCTGTTTGGTGTTTTCAGGGCTTGAAAACGATTCCGCAGTGGGGGGGGGGGGGGGGGGGGGGGGGCGCACACAGAGAAAACCACCGTTTTGGTGTGGGGCTGGGGGGGGACGGGGCGGGGCTGGGGCTGGGGCACGCAGAAAATGGGGGCGAATCACTGTTTTGATTTTTGTTTGGGTTTGTCCTTGTCGTGTTGAGGTTTCATTCGCTGTCGTGGTCGGCTTGTTTTCTGTCGTGGTGCCAAAATTTCCTTGTTATGGTGTGGATCTGTTTTTCTTGTCGTGGTAGCAACGCCCGCCCTCTCAAACCCTAAACCCCCAAAGCCCATAACCTTAGGCAGGTCTAATCTCATGCCCATTAGATGCTGCACAAATTAATAATGTAAGCGTTTCCTGTATTTTTGACACTTTGTAAATCAGTTTTCATTGATATTAAGTACAATCAATATTATGCTAACTGTGAAATATGTACTAGTTTGCATAGCATGCATTATGATCAAATGCCTATTAAATTCATACAAAAAATCATCAAAAACATAGACATTTGAATGAACCCAAGATTAATATAATAAACCGGGTTCAGAGCTCTAGGATCCTTGGGGGTGTTGGGGTGGTAGGGTTTAGGGTTTAAGGTTTAGGGTTTAAGTAGGCTTTAGGCTAAAACGTCACGGGTGATAGGGTGGCAGTTAGGGGCTTACGATGTCAGGGAGTCAGGGGTCAGGGCTGTTATTTGGTAGGGTGTTTGGGGATTTTTTTATACGGGTGTTAGGGTGTGGGGTTTAGGGTTTACTTTGGGAACCTTAAGACCCTAAGCCCAAAACCCTAAACAGTTTTGTGGAACCGTTTGGGGCTTGTGGGGGCTTGGTTTCAGCCCACCACCTTTTAGCCAAGCCAACAAATGACAGAAGCCCAAAGAGCCCCTCACGAAGCCCCAAAATCCTGGAGCTTGGGTTTCGGGCTTAGGGCTGTTTGGCTGAGGCCTTAGGCTTGCGCAGCAAACCCTGCATATCTGCAGGGAGTTCGAGCCATGGTGCCACAGCCACCGCCACCGCGGCAATTGCCTGCAGTGGACCGCGAGCAGGAAGCTGGGTCATTGTTGAAAATCATTCTTCGTTTTTATGAATACTTAAACTTAAACCCAACAAGGAACAAACATGATCATGTTTAATTGTGCCCCAACAATGGTGCAGGAACGGGCTCTGAAGAGGAGGTCCGTGTCATCATTGGCTTCGTCCATTGATTCGGGACTTCTCAGAGCTGTTCCAATGGGGTTGGTCTTAAGATGCTGTGGGAGACAATGGGGGAGTCGGGTTGTGGATGAGTACCACCTCAGCCGGCCTGTGAACGAGATCGATGCTTTCTTGAGTCATGACTGGGGAACACGGCGTTGGCTGAAAACGGCCACTATGATGGTCCATTTCAACAGTGTGCCGGCTGCCGTGGCAAGTTTGCTGACGTGCATTGTGGCATGCCTTCTCATCGTCCTCAGAGTGTCGGACGGATGGCTCCCTGGCACACTCGCCATCCACGGTACTTACTGGTTTGTCTTTGTGTGCTGGCAGGATCTTCGCGGCTTGTGCAAGAAGAACATGGTCTTTCTTGATCGAATCTGCATTGCCCGGCATGATGCAGATCTCAAAACACAAGGGATCCTATCCTTGGGTGGGTTCCTTTCGAAGTCGCGCAAGCTGGTGGTTTTGTGGAGCCCGCGATATTTCACCCGTTTGTGGACAGCCTTTGAGTTGCTTGGTATAGGGTTTAGGGTTTAGGGTTTAGGGTTTAGGGTTTAGGGTTTTGGGTTTAGGGTGCAGGGTTGAGGGATTAGGGTGCAAGGTTTAGGGTTTAGGTTGTAGGGTTTAAGGCCTTTTTTGGGAGTGGCCTTCTGCAAAGGTAAGTGACACCAAGAAGGCTATCCTGATTCTTATATGGGGAAAATAGACGCCTAAATAGTAGGATCCCCTATTTTGGACCCCCAATAAGGTGCCCTATTATCGTAAACCCCATATAGTTACTGGGCTGGACCAAGGTTGTCGGCATTCTTGAGGGAAGGTGAAGAGAAGGAGAAAGACATCGATTTTGCTCCAGCCAGCATGGGTCCGCTACTTCTGTACTTTTCAATTTTTGAAACGCTGCTAGTTGCCAGCTTCCACATTCTTGTGCTTCGGTTTGTGGAGTCTGTGCTGCAAGAGCAAAAGGTTTATTTGAAGAACGAGAGCAGCCTGTGGAATTTCACAGTTGCTATGCTCGTCATTTGTGCTCCAGCATTTCTGGTGGTTGCGCCTATGGTCCTGTACCTTGGCACAATGCAGATGAAAGCTTTGCTGCAGCTGAGAAAGCAGGTGGATGAGTTCAAAATTCGGGATGCTCAGTGCAGCTGTTGTCAGATGGACCATTGTCAGCCTGACACCGGTGAAGAGCTGCTATGTGACCGGATGCTTGTTTTCGAAACACTGAAGCGATGGTATCCACTGGAGACTTCATCGGAGGCTTGTCTGGACAGATTTGACGAGACTGTTCACAAAGAGCTGGGCGGCTATGTGCGGAACCGGTTAGGTGCCGGCGCTCCACCATTGCGGCACATAGTGGCAATTTCCGTGCACCCTTTGCTTGGCTTCTTATGCATGTACGTCTACCTGGCCGTGAACGCGCACCTTTTTCCCTGGTCAGCCCTTGCCTGGATCATCGGATGGTTCCAGGCACCACCCATGGTGTCTTTGTCATAGTGGGGGTAACATGTTACATCTTTCAGGGTACCTAAACCCAAAATGAGGAATAGAAATCTTCATCTTTTATACTATCCCAACCATGAACTAGGTGTACCTTGCACTCTGGGAGTTCTTGCAGATGTGGAGGCTCGGTGTGCGATTTGGCGATCGGTGCTCGCTGTGGCTCATTTTCCTGCTTGGAGAGGCTGCGGGCATTGGCTTCAATGTCGCGATCTGGATGCAGTACACTGTGCTGAAATATACTTTTGGGCATGATGTAAATGGGCCCGTCCTCGGCTCCCTCGCTTTCATGTGGATCACCTTCATACTGCCATATGTCTACGAATATTCTCCGAAGCTTTTCGGCCTTAAGTGACGTCGATAAACCGACCGAAATGGCGGCAAACCTGGCCTGATGTGAACTTAGAGCCTGTCGCTTAAAGCGTAGGACGATTTTGGCAATGAGTAGTGAGTAGTGAGCTCTGTGTGGCTGCTTCTAGTGCGCCACGTGTGGTGCGCCAAGCGTTGTGCGCCGGCGCTGGCATGGTGCATGGTTGCATCGTAGGAGCCCGAGCCCAGTTGTGCCTACTCAAGTGCAGCGCGCAGCGCCTGGAGTTTTTGGGATGAGGGAGGCTGCTAACGCAACCTCTCGTACCGTCGTATCAAACTCCGTTACCCTAACGGGTTTGAGTTGAGTTGAGAAGTGACGTCGAACTCCCGCAGGTCCGTGCAGACTCGGCTGCAAGCGCTCCCCCCCTTTCCCCCCCCCCCTTTGCTCTTAAGCTTAGTAGCTGAGTGAACACACTTTACGGATACTAGAATCCCCCATGGAACTGGAAGTGTACACTTTTTTTGAGGCTTGTGAACTCAGCAACTAAGGTAAGGAAGTTGTCTAGGTTTTAGGATTCCGGGTTGACGGTAGAGATCCCAAACCCGTTTAAACCCTAGCCCTAGGCAGTTTTCGGCAGGACCCTTTGTTAGAATGCCTAGGACTGGTTTATCCAGGCGGCAAGAGGGCTTGGGGGCTTGGGGCTTTGGGTTTTGAGTCTGGGATTTAGGCTTGGATTTAGGACTTGAGCCCTACACCCTAATTAAAAACGAAACCCTAAACCCTAAACCCACCAAACAGCCCAAACCCCCCCCCCCCCCCCCTCAACCCCTCAACCCCTCAACCCCTCAACCCCTCAACCCCTAAACCCTAAACCCTAAACCCTACTACACCCCTTGAACCCGAAGGGGTTTAGTGTCCCAGGTCTTAGGATCCTCGGGTCAATGAGAGTGATGGTCGTGGTTTGTGCCTGGCTGCTGACAGTCGGGTGCTTGAAGGCCCATCGGTAGTTCGATTTACAGTATTACGGTTATACTCTAAGGAATGGGTAAACCCTGAACCCTAAACCCTAAACCCTAAACCCTAAACCCTAAACCCTAAACCCTAAACCCTAAAACCCTAAAACCCTAAACCCTAAACCCTAAACCCTAAACCCTAAACCCTAAACCCTAAACCCTAAACCCTAAACCCTAAACCCTACCTTAACTTGGGGCCCTTGAGCCGGCCCTTGGGCCGGCGGCCTCCATGGCGCCGCTTCACCCGCAGCTTTTCACGGCAGGCCAAGGCTCGACCCTTGCAAGCGGAGCAGGGTTTAGGGTTTAGGGTTTAGGGTTTAGGGTTTGGGGTTTAGGGTTTGGGGTTTGGGGTTTGGGGTTTAGGGTTTAGGGTTTAGGGTTTGGGGTTTAGGGTTTAGGGTTTAGGGTTTAGGGTTTAGGGTTTAGGTTTACGAAAAAGGGAAGCCCTGAATAGACCTCCAAGAGTAGGATTCCTTTATAATAAGGACCCTTTTATGCTCAAGGTTCAGTCCAGGCTTACCCAAACCCCCTAACCCGAAACCCTAAACCCTAAACCGTAAAACCCTAAACCACAAACCCTAAAACCCTGAGCCCTTAACATCCGGTTTTAGGGTTAAGGGCTTAGGGTTTAGAGGGGTCTGACTTCGGGGGCTTTAGGAATCTTGGGGGCATCCCAGGTGCCTCCCCAGTTCACTTTTTAATGAGAATCCGTCTTATCCCCTGGAGGACCCCAAACCCTTAAACCCTAGTACGCCCCACATAGAACCCTTACTCTTTCCTAGCACTACTAAACCCTAGCCCTAAACCTGAAACCCTAGAAAACGGAGCATGAGGGCCATTCTGCTTTGTACCCCTAAGGTCTTTTTGTTTGCCAGAGGACCGGGATCCCTTTCATGTGCTGGGAATTGAAAACAACCCTAAATTTGTGCCCCCGATATACCCCTGCCTTATAAAGGGACCCACCGGGAAAACTCCCTTTTGGCCCCCGTTTAACCCAACAAGGGCACCCGTTTCATTCCTAGGTTACTCTTGGGTCGAGTATCCTAGGGCAGTTCTACAGTCTCTTAGTATGGGGGGGACCCTCATTCACCCCGTATAAACAGTATACGAACCAGGGCCCATACTTCAGAAGCCTTTAAAGCATCCTTGGGGTTCTGAGGGTTTAGGGTTTCTAGGGTTTCGGATTTTTCAGGGTTACCAGGGTTTAGGGTGTAGGGTTTAGGGTTTAGGGCTTAGGGTTTAGGGTTTAGGGTTTAGGGTTTAGGGTTTAGGTTTAGGGTTTAGGGTTTAGGTTTAGGTCTTAGGGTCTTATTCGGGTCGGCCTGCACCGACATATCCCAGCAGGGAAGGCGCCAGGAGCTTAAGTTGCCGCCCTTGGCAGTTGCCAGGATTGGGCCCTGAAACCAGCGGATCTTAAACCCTAAACCCTAAGCCCTAAACCCTAAACCCTAAACCCCAAACCCCAAACCCCAAACCCCAAACCCCCAAACCCCCAAACCCTAACTTAACTTGGGCTCTCCTTTCCAACAACCCCAACCCGATGCCTCCTGAACAGCGTTCACTTTCCCAAACCCGAAGCAAAGCCAAGATCTTCCAACATCCCTAAATTAGGGTTGAGGGTTTAGGGTGTATAGGGTTTAGGGTTTGGGGGATTGTTCCCTGAATTCTAGTAGGATCCTTACGAAGAGTTTTCAGGATTGTTCCTCAACTCTAGTAGGATCCTTAACAACACCGTAGGGAATGTTCCTTAATGTATGGTAGGCTCGTTAATGTGATTTTTCCGGGAAGATTCTTTAACTTAGAGTGGATTCCTGTGTGCGACTGCAGGGGAATATTCACTAAAAATGTGGTATGGTGATTTAGGGTATGTTCCTCAAAACGATAGTAGGACGTTCGCGCAGCTAGGGTGTCCCGAAGGGTCCATGCCCCTATATCGTGTTTACAGAACCCTTAGGGTTTAGGGCAAGGTTTAGGGTTTAGGGTGTAGGGTTTAGGGTTTAGGGTTTAGGGTTTAGGGTTTAGGGTTTAGGGTTTAGGGTTTAGGGTTTAGGGTTTAGGGTTTAGGGTTTAGGGTTTAGGGTTTAGGGTCCTGTTTGCAGGGAGTATTCTTTCATGAGGCCGAGGGGATGCGTGTGCGCGTGTGTGGTTTCGGGTTTAGGGTTTAGGGTGTAGGGTTTAGGGTTTAGGATTTAGGGTTTAGGGTTTAGGGCTAGGGCTTCGGAAGAGAACTTGCGGGTTCTTCTTTGCCTGCATCTTTGTGGCTTTGGGGCTTTAGTTTTGTGGGGTGGTGGTTTGAGCAAGCTTGCTGCCTCACTTTCTTACACAGGTTCTACGTGGTTGTTGAACTGAGGACAACATGGCTCCCATAGTCCTAAACCCTAAACCCTAAACCCTAAACCCTAAACCCTAAACCCTAAACCCTAAACCCCTTTCTTTAAAGGGTTCTGCTGTATGGGCCCTTGGGTTCTATCGTGTATATGAAGTAGGGTATATATATTTCTTGTACCCCCAAAAGGACACCCAATATATACACTCACCAATATTGAAAAGGAACCTTATATACACTCACCAAAAACGGAAATGTAAACCCTACTTCATATAAGGGGTATACAAGGGTTTTTAAAATAACAGGGTATGTAACTAGCATACGAGATGGCTTCTTTAAGGGTATATCCCTAAATAACCCCTAAGGTCCCTGGTAAGGGTCCCTCCTTTAGTCCTTTGACTTCTGATTGGGGGTTTTGAGCTTAGGCTTCGAGGTGTTGGGGCTTTTTTGGTCGCAGGCACAGGTTTACACCCTTCAGTTCCGGCCTCTTAGGGCGGACGGGGCCGGGTTCGGGGTCTAGAGTTTAGGGTTTTGAGTTTGGGGTTTAGGGTTTAGGGCTAGGGTTTAGGGGGTCTACCAAAGGTCTCGTGTTGAGGTGCTCTCCTAGCTCCCTCCACTGCGCTGCTCGTCTCGCTCGTTAGCCGTCTGGCTGGTTTGCTACATATGAACCTCGACGAGGTTTTTGCGGCAGTCGCGATCAGAGAGCCTGCTAGAAAAGCATGGGGCATCCCTAAACCCTAAACCCTAAACCCTAAACCCTAGTACCCTCAAAGGTCGCTCTCTTGACGCCAAACACCACAAGCCACTGGTAGATCATCCACCACACCACGCCCACCAAGTCCGGCCCAAAACCCTCAACCCTGAACCCTCAAGCCCTAAACCCTAAACCCCAAACCCTAAACCCTAAACCCTAAATCGTAAACCCTAAACCCTGAACCCTAAACCCTAAACCCTATCAGAGGGGTACCCTTTTGATTCTCCTGGCGGGACCTCAGACGCCATGTCCGGCCGACTCGCAGTCACGAGCTTGCCGATTCGCATAGCGACTTGGCAGTCTAAGCCCCTAGCCCTAAACCCTAAACCCTAAACCCTAAACCCCAAACCCCAAACCCCAAACCCCTAGCCCTAAACCCTAAACCCTAAACCCCAAACCCTAAACCCTAAACCCTAAACCCCAAACCCTAAACCCTCCCTAGGACCTAAGGACCTAATGACCATTAACCCAAAGGCCAGTGTTTTCTGACCCGGTTTTCCTCTCCTCCTTCGTAGGCTTGAAAAGCTTGAAGCCTCGGGCGGTGGCATGTTGCAGTCAGGCAGAGCCCTATGGAGGGCTTAGGGTTTAGGGTTTAGGGTTTAGGGTTTAGGGTTTAAGGTTTAGGGTTTAGGGATTGTGGCATGTTGCAGTCAGCCGCCAAAGCCTTATGGAGTTTCAAAAACCTTTTCTTGCCCCCCCCTCCCCCCCGGAATAATAGAATCCCCCCTTCGACGCCAAACCCTAAACCCGAAGGACTCCCTACACTCTTCACCGAAGTTCCTATTCCGAAACCCCATGCAAGGTCATTATCGGCCATGGACCTGTTGGGCATATTCTCCTGGAGATCCTCGGCTACAGAAGTAGGGTTTAGGGCTTAGGGTTCAGGGTTTAGGGTTTAGGGTTCAGGGTTTAGGGTTTAGGGCTTAGGGTTCAAGGTTGAGGGTTTGGGGTTTAGGGCTTTAGTGCCCCCAATGTTCGAACGGCTTACATTCGGACGCGGCTCTGGACTTGAATATTTTCGAGGAGGCGATACCTCATATCCCCCCCCCGACCTCTGGCTTTCGTCCCATAAATCCTAAACCAACCGTAAGCCCAAGTGTCCCCGGTTTAGGGTTTAGGGTTTAGGGTTTGGGGTTTGGGGTTTAGGGCAAGGGACCCAAATGTCCCGAGTGAAAGTGTGCCTGCATGTTTCATTTGTAAGTTTGGCTCGCGCTGGCTCGGGTCTGGGCTCCCTGGGAGTAGCTTCCATGTCTGCAGACACAACTGATGAGTTCTCTAAAATTATCTTTGTAGTACTTTACTGTAACTTTAGATCCTTACCTTTTTTGGGTTTATTGGGTTTCTTATTAAGGCAGCCAAAAGTTTAATCTATAGCTACCCTCCTGAGTGCAGCCAAGTTATGGTCCCTTTGGCAGTCCTTCTTGTAAGGCGGCCCCTATTGTTTAGTTACCCCAAAAGGGGAACCATCATGTTGAGCATTGGCCAACTGTTCGCTCACACCCAGCGCACACTCGAGCCCAAACCCTAAACTCCAGTTAGCCCCCCCCACCCCCCCCCCCCCCCCCCCCCAAAAAACAAAAAAAAAAAAGACAAAGCAAACCTAAAGGCCTTAAGTCTTAAACCCCAAGTTTGAGGCTTGTGGGTGACATGTGAAGAGCAGGTTTAAGTGTTTCTTGTTGGGAGTGCTCCGGGTATCATAGCGAATTTCAGGAGTCTAGACTTAAGACTCATCTGTTTCATAGCCTAACCCTGGACCCTAAACCCGAACTAACACTAAAAGTAGATTCTTGAACTTTGGGGGCGGGGGTATTGGAACATTCCCCCCTAAACCCTAACCCGAAGCCCTCAAGCCTAAACCCTAAACCCTAAACCCCAAACCCCAAACCCTAAACCCTAAACCGCCTTAGGTATCTCACCGAAGGAACTGAGTTCCCACTGGAGCTCACGGTCCTCTGTCCGGGGGGCCCAGATGAGTCTGCGGTTTAGGGTTTAGGGTTTAGGGCTTAGGGTTAAGGATTCAGGGTTTACTTTCTGGTTCTTTGTGGGAATACGGTTGCCTTGCATCCTCCTTCTATTACCCTTTAGCGGTTTCTATTGGGTACCTAACTCCCACAGTCCCTCCTTAGGAAAAGCCAGCTTGGGATTTTGGTGTTGGATCCTGGGCTTTGGAAGCCCTAAAACTCTAATCTCTAAACCCTAAACCCTAAACCCTAAACCCTAAACCCTCAGTCTTTCGGTTGGACTCAGCTTTGTTCTATGGATTTTGACGCGACGACACCATGTGGGAGGCAGCAGGCCTCGACTAGCTTAAACCCTAAACCCTAAACCCTAAACCCTAGCTCCTTGCTCTTGCCCAAAAAACTCGGCAGCCCTTGACCCCAAAAGAGAACCCCTGAAGCCTCAACACCCATGTGAGTTGGTTTAGGGATTACTGGTTTGGGGTTTGTTTTAGAGTTTAGGGTTTGGGGCCGAGGTGTAGATTAAGAGGTTTAGGACTTGGGTTTTGGGGTTTAGGGTTTGGGGCTTGGGGCTTAGGTCTTAGCTTGAGGAATCTGGCCTGAGATTGGCTCTTTGAACTGCCCAGTTTGATCTTTCGTTGACTTTCAACAATGGAATGCGTGGCTGACGGAGGCAAAAATGGAGACATCATCATTCGCGATCCTTACCTGTTTCCGCTTGCGCACGCTGTCAGAACAGCTATGCTCTTTGCCACGTCAGCCTTGGGCATATTATTTGCCAGCAGCTTCTTCTGTCCGGCTATTCGTTCGGGCCCGTGGAACCTCACGAAGAAGATTTGCTGCTGGTACCTAGGTTTGAACAGCTTTGGCTGCGCTTTGGAGGCAGCCGCCACTGTGTTTCTCTCAGAGAGTGAGCCTTGGATGCAATCGGGCAAGCTTCGGTTGCAGTGATTCCCTCCCACCTAATATTCAACCATCCCCACCCCCCTACTAGTAAATTAAATACTCCCCAACAAAATGTACCACAATTACCGGGCACAAAATTAGGGGAAGGGGATACTGGTTTCCTCATCCCTTCATCGGAGACATGTCTGCTTGGTGTTTCGGATATGAGGGCAGGGCAACATGTCAACATCTTCCCTGAATGTTGAATGCTACGCGACCCGCCTCGGCCGAAAGCTGGCGTAGCTCAGGAGGGCAGGAAGAGCCTGGCTCTCCTGCTAGCGTTGGCAAGGAACGCAGCAGAAGGGAGCAGTGCAGACTGCTTCTCAGGGCGTGAGCAAGGCGGCCAAGCTGCAGTTGCGGAACTGCACTTCGCATAGGGAGACAGGTCACGGAGAAGTTAGGACGAGTTTGGGCGGTAGAGCGGAAAGAGAAGAGACAGCCTCTCACTCTGAATCCTTGCGTGCCTGTGGCGGCTCGATGCGTGCAGCAGCTTGCTCGCTCTTCCTTGAAGCAGAGGAGTATCTTTGCTATTGGAAGGTGGGTTGACAGGGGTGAGGAAGGGGCGGGGGTGGGGGGGGGGGGTGGAAGAGAGTTAGGGGGGGACGTTCGGTTCATTCCCAAAGGCCCAAAGGGTCCATGTACCTTATTACTATGTACTTGGGCCTCAAAGTCCTTGTATAGGAAGTACCTTAGGGCCCAAGTATTCCTTCTTGAGGTACATGGACCCCTAGGGATTTCCAGGGCCGACAATGAAAAACAACGGGGCAAAACAACCCTAAACCCGAAACCCTGAACCCTAAACCCTAAACCCTGAACCCTGAACCCTAAACCCTAGGGGCTTGGGCTTAGGCCTCGGCCCGAGATTTTCGGGGAAGTCCCTTGAATATTCTCTAGAGTCCCCTTAGGATTTACATTTTTAAACTATTTGTATATAACCCAACGGAATTACTATCATTTATTTTATCTTATGGTTCTAAGGGGAGTATATAGTCTCCACTTGGGATGTTCCCCGTTATACGAACAGTCCTTCCTTGGGATTAGAATGGGGGGTACTGTAATCCTTCCTGATCAAAGGCTGCGAGTATAAGGGGGAACATCCCAAGTCTCTGCCCTTCTGTTTCCAGGATGGTTTAACCCTAAACCCTAACCCTAACCCTAAACCCTAAACCCTAAACCCTAAACCCTAAACCCTAAACCCTAAACCCTAAACCCTAAACCCTAAACCTTCTGATGTCAGGATGGTCTCGCACTGATTGCCGCAGCACGGATGGTCCTCATTACTTCGCTGGCTCCCCTCCTAGCAGCTGCCAATGGGGCGGCCCAGTCGCTTGGGGATACGTGGAAATATATTTTTTTGGTTTTGGGTACTATAACTCCTAAGAAACAGCGAAGATTCTACAATTTTTGGGCACTATATTTCCTAAGAAACAGCTAAAAAGGAGAGTTTTTGCCAGGGTTCCATGTTCAGTGTAGGTCAATTTGGCCCTCAAAGTGGTGGCAGCTCATCTGGATTTTGAGCATCTTGGTAGCCCAGTGGTACCCTTTACCCTTTCTTGGTTCTGGGTTCCCTTCTGACGTAGCCTACCCCAAAGAGAAGGGTGCCCTTATCTATACGATATTTTGCTGGGCTACCAAGGCATCTTATTTCTCATCTCATCGCTTGCACTATTTGTCACCTTTCTGGTGCTGTTGAAGGATTTTGCCCTTTTGGCCCTGGGATGCATCATGGGCTGTGGTGCATTCTATTGCGCTGGCCTGTGGTGTCTGGTGATCCGCAAGGTAAGTTTCGCCTTTGCTTTTGCCGGACCTGCTGGAGCTGCACTGCTTCTTGTATCCTATGTGGTTTTGGGCGTGAGCGACTTGGGTTGCGGCCCTCAGGCACATGTGGATTGCTACAAGAATTGCTTTATGGGGCAAGGTGGGGGTCACTACATTCCTTCCTTTGTCGTATCTTGGCGGCAGAGAAAACTTTGGGAAGTCTGGGGGCATTTGAATGCTGATCAGAACCATACTTAGAAGATCACCACAATCTGAAAGTGATCACTAGCCATGGGACACAAACATGGTATATCTCGGGTACAGCTTATTCCACTGAGATGGGTTGTTTTCAAGTTAGTACACTTTTGGAGCCTGTAGTTTTGGACCCATCGCGACTACTTGGAGGTTCATGGTACTTCTTAACAAACTATAACTGTACATATAACTGTACTTATAACTGTTAGGGCACTTAAGGGGCCTACTAGCGGGTTATAACGTACAACTCTAATTGGGTAATAAGTACACATGAACCTCCAGTAGTAGGTGATGGTGCTGGCGAACCTGGCGATTACGATGTTTTTCGCCCAGGACACGTTGCAGATGAAGCTGGCTTTCTGGGGCCCTGGAAATCCAGCTCCTGAGGCTGGCCACGTGACACCACCGGGATGACTGACCAGTTGAGCATAGCTGAGCACCACAAAGCCCTAAACCCTAAACCCTAAACCCTAAACCCTCAACCCCAAACCCCAAACCCCAAACCCCAAACCCCAAACCCCAAACCCCAAACCCCAAACCCTAAACCCTAAACCCTAAACCTTGCTAAGCCCCCTAAGCCCTCAAGTTAATGTCTCTCTTGCGGAGGGCCTTGGGAGCGTGGCATGAAATGCAGGCCCGCCTCCCAATGCCCCCGTGATGTTTTGCACCCAAAGATGTGCCAAATCCTAAACCCTGAACCCTGAACCCTAAACCCTGAACCCTACAGATCCCCTTTGACAGGGTGTCCCCGCAGGCCTTAGGTTCTTGGCGGTGGAAGCCCTTCACGCCTGGACCTTAAGCCAGTGCTGTATGCTAGGTCCATCTCAGGTGGGTAGTTTCCCCTATATACCCCTTTTTGTTAACCCTCATAATACCCTCAGCGCCCTCTTATACTCCTATACCATTCCCTTCAGAGAAGCCTTGCAGAAGGTATCTATCCCACCTGAAAGCTGCAGTTTGCGGTTCGCTAAGCGACGAAAATGCCAGCCACAGACCGTTGCAGGCTGGGTTGCATCGCTTGGGTTTCAATGCAACCCTAAACCCTAAACCCTAAACCCTAAACCCTAAACCCCATTAATTCCATTACTAGGAGGGTTGGGCTCCCTGTTTCAAAGGCTCCATGGACAGAAGTGAGCACCTGGTGAGTTCTATAACTTCCCGCCCCTGCGAGGCTCAGGGCGTTCTAGCAAGGAGGTGATCGATAGGTAAGGTTGTCATTATCCTATGTTGGGTTTAACCCTGAAAGCCTAATCACCACCCGGCCCGAAGCCGAAAAAAACAGTAAACTTGAAACCCCAAGCCAACGGGAGTTGGCAACATCATGCCAACCTCTACGTGGACAGGCGTAAGAAAGTCCAGGTTTCATCTCTTCAACCAACAACGAGGCTTCCCGCATCAACTTCATCAGCATGGTGTGCTACGGCGAGTTCTTTGAACCCCAAACCCTAAGGATTGAACAGACCATCGCCCTGCCCAACCTTTTCAACGAAGCGACGTGAGCATTGGCCACGTATGCAATCTATAAGGGCTACTTGACGAAGGCCTCCCATATGGGGGGGGTTTTCCGAAAATAGGGGTACCCATTTTGGGGGTCCCTTTAAGGGGATTCTTTTGTATTTAGGGGTATAAAGCGGTACCCCCTATTTTGGGAAATTGGAAAATACCCATTTGTCGTGGGAGAGCTTTCGCGTCCCTTACCACATTCCCATATGTCTAAGTAGGAAGCATTTACAAACAATGAGTCGAACCCGTAGGCCTGCAACCATGCTAAACCTTAAACAATTTCAGAAACCCCACCCCCTTAAACTCAACTCTTCACGAGACCCGAGTCCTTTGAACCCATTCTCCCCAATAGCCTTATACCCTAGACCCTAAACCCTAAACAAACCCTAGTACCCAAAACCCGAGACCCTAAACCCCATATAAACCCTATCCCCTATACCCTCAACAAATCCTAGAACCCTAAACCCCCAAACCCCTAAACCCTAACCCTACAACCCTGGAACCCTGGAACCCTAGAACCCTAGAACCCTAGAACCCCAGAACCCTAGAACCCTAGAACCCCAGAACCCCAGAACCCCAGAACCCCAGAACCCTAGAACCCTAGAACCCGAGAACCCTAGAACCCTAGAACCCTAGAACCCTAGAACCCTAGAACCCTACAACCCTGGAACCCTGGAACCCTAGAACCCTAAACCCTAAACCCTAGAACCCTAGAACCCTAAACCCTAAACCCTAAACCCTGAACTGAGTTCCCTGCGCCAAGGTGAGGAGCCGCGGTTGGCGTACAACCGAGTGGCCATGACGCCCCTCGATTGAAGCCCACGGCTCCAGGGTTCTAAGATTTAGGGTTTAGGGTTTAGGGTTTAGGGTGTAAAGTTCAGGGTTTAGGGTTTAGGGTTCTGGGACCTCGACGATGTGAGATCCTCAGCCCTATGCCCCGTATACTTGAAATCCTCCACTTTAAGCACTGGACCGCAACCTTGTACACGTCTGAAAGTGTGTAAGGGTAAGAGCTCCATTTCATGGTTCCTTTGAAGTTCTAAACCTAAACCCTAAACCCTAAACCCTAAACCCTAAACCCTAAACCCTAAACCCTAAACCCTAAACGGCTCAGGGTTCAGGGCTTAAAGGAGTCCAGGGCCAGGAGTGCTTAGGACTCAGGGCTTGCGGGGTCGATGGGAGGTTTAGGGTTTAGGGTTTAGGGTTTGGGGTTTGGGGTTTGGGGTTTTGGGTTTGGGGTTCAGGGTTTAGGGTTTCATGTGTTCGTTTTGGGTTTCGCTATGGCTTAAAATGTTTGGGTTTTAAGTTTTAAGGTTTAGGGTGTTTTTTTGTGTTTTTGTCTTTTGTGGTTTTTGTCTTCGCTTTGGGTTGCGCTATAGTGGGCCGTCCTTGTGTGTGCGCATGTGTGTGTGTACATACATATACATATACATACATATATATATATATAATTTATATATGTATGTGTATATATATATGTATATCTATACATATGTATATATATATACATATATATATATATATATTGTGTGTGTGGATGTGTTTTTGGGTGCGGCTTGGCTTGGCTCCGGGTTTCTCTTGGCTAGGCCCTCAACAGTAAAGCCCTTGGCCCCTCAGAGGTCTTTTTCTGAAGTTTTGGGCTCAGGGTGCAGGCTTGTGTAGGCTTCTGTGATCCAAACGTTGAGGCCTTTAGGGTTTTTTTGGGGTTTTCAAGGGCTTAAGGGTTTGTAGGGGTTTTAGGGTTTGAAGGGTTTTTAAGGGCGGTTTAGAGCTTCGGTAAGTGCTGTGTGTTGTATATGGGGTGTCCTTTGCGGGGTCTTCGGAATAAAGCCTTACTTCATATATCCAACACCGACTGCAATTGCCTCCCACTCAAGCGGAGTTCAGGGTGCAGGGGCTCGGAAACGTACTGTTGGGAGCTTCGAATACAGGAGCCTAACTGCTTGCAAACCTGGGGTTTAGGGTTCAGGGTTCAGGGTTTAGGGTTTAGGGTTTAGGGTTTAGGGTTTAGGGTTTAGGGTTTAGGTTTAGGGCTCAGCCCGCACCCCTTGGCACCGGAGAACAACCGGGTGACTTGCTTTTCGACGGCTTGCCTCCCCGCCAAGACCGATTCCGGGAACACTCTGCATGGCTAGGGTAGGAGCTGAGACAGCCCAGCTTGCCTACTACTTGCTTAAGAACCCCCCCCCCCCCCCCCCGAAAAAAAGCAAAATAGACAAATAAACTAATAGAAAAAAAGCTTGTCCTTATGAGGGCAATATTTGTACTATGTTATTTCCTTTGCATAAGAACCCAAAAAATGAGCAATATGTTCTTCCTAATAAGGGCAAGATAGGGATCACTATTTCATATTTTGCTTAGGGTTCTGAAACAAAGAAGAGTTTTACGTTCAAACGAGGGCCCCCATTTTAGACTAGAGTGTCTTAAGACAAAATAGTGAAGCACTAAAACAAGCAAACAGGCGCTAAACCCTGCACCCTGACCCTGCACTGCACCCTTTCCCCTAAACCCTAAACCCTAAACCCTAAACCCTAAACCCTAAACCCTAAACCCCGCGTTTGGTTCAGAGCTTGAGTGAATTACGCACTCTTACCCTAAATCGCCTAAAGCCCAAACCCTAAACTCTAAACCTCAAACCCCAACCCCAAGCCCGAAGCCCTACGCCCTAAACCCTAAACCCTAAATCGTAAACCCTAAACCCTAAACCCTAAACCCTAAACCCTAAACCCTAAACCCTAAACCCTAAATCCTAAACCCTAAACCCTAAACCCTAAACCCTAAACCCTAAACCCTAAACCCTAAACCCTAAACCCAGCCACACCAGGAGCTACTTCCAGCATCGATCCGCCGATGAGCTGTCCATGTGCAGCCCAGAGTGGTTGGTTGAGAAGAGCCTTGGGAGCATGGAGGGTTATGGGTTTAGCGTTTAGGGTTTGGGGTTTAGGGTTTGGGGTTTAGGGTTTAGGATTTAGGGTTCAGGGTTCAGGGTTCAGGATTCAGGGTTGAGAATCATGCATGCAAGTGATTGCGGTAGCAGATACCAGGAAGGGGGGGGGGGGGGGGGGGGGGGGGGGGGGGAATACCGCCTGCAAGGAATGTGTCAGTGATTTTCGCCCGGGCGACGCACATCGACCGCCTCCGGAAACGTGCCTAGGGCCCATTTGAGGGTTTGGGGTTGAGTGTTTGGGTTTGAGCACAAGGGGCTGGGCAGTTAAGCCTTTAACCTGTTTGGTTATATATATATATATGTATATATATATATAGATAGATATAGGTGTATATATATTTTTCCTATTACAAATAAAAGGTTAACCTTTTTCTGAGCTAGGGTATTCTGCCTCTAAACCTTAACCAAACCCTACACCCTACTTGGAGGGTCGAGGGCCTTAGTTAGTAGGTACAATGTTGCAGGGAACTCATGACTACTTCATAGCTAATTGTCCTGAGCCTAAACCCTTGTAAACACTAAACACCATCTTATCAACCCTGACCCACCCACCCCCCCCCCCACCCCCCACCATCCTCCAAGGAAACCCTTTAAGTTTAGGTTATTTAGGTTTAGGGCCGAGCCCCCCAAACTCAAAACCCAAAAGCCCCAGCCAAGACGATGATGAGATGTCTAGGGTTGAGGGTTTGGGGTGTAGCCACAGGATTTAGGGCTCAGGATTTCACCAATTTTTTTCATTACGGTACACCATTCTAGCCCAAATATCTAAGGCTTGTCTCAAAAAAATCCATAGGGCTGCAAGACCAAGTCTATCAACAACCCAGGTATATTCAATTGAACTTGCTGTTGAGGTTGGTGTAGTATGTGTGTGACATCGGTATACACCCAAATAGCATGTTTGTCGAACCTATCCCATCCCCCCAAATGTTGTGTCGACCTTCCTCGGAAAATTTGGGTTCGCCGG